GGGAAAGAGACTTTTACAGAGCCAGAGGTTTGGCCTGTCCCAAAGACATATTACCTAATGCTGGTGAAGTTGAAGAAGAAAGGGCCAATGCGGACGCGCATGCAGAATCGGATTATCATCGTACTGATGAACAGGTAGTTATAACAGTGCGTATATATACAGAAATAGAATATTTGTTTGGAACTTTATAACCAATTTGTCAAAATTTCAGGTTAATGTATGCTTGGAATGTATGAATGCTAGTTTGAAAACTTTAAAAAGAAGATTTATCAGATGTTCAGCTCAGGCTACAATAACACATATGAAAAAGTTTATCGCTAAGAAAGTTTTGAGCGGGATGGAAAAATATAGGGATGTAAGTATATTTGATGGATATCATAGAAGCATATTATTATTATTATTTTCATTAATTTGTCTTTATTTTTCGATAGATTGATATTTTGTGCAATAACGAGTTATTAGGTAAGGACCATACATTGAAGTTTGTTTATGTGACGAGATGGAGGTTCCGGGACCCACCTTTGAGGTTACAATATAGATCGCACATAGATATGCAAGATTAATCTTTCTACATTCGAGATATACAAAAAAAAGATCACGCAAAATCTGCCCCTACATTTGTACAATTTTCTAGTTATATTCCTATCTTAACTATCATAGTATTTATTTCTATATTTATCTGCCCAGCGTTTGTGCCGAGTTTTAGTAAGATGATTTAGATTATTCAAAGCAGAATGATATATCGATTTGGAGATGTGTTATTTGATATTAATAATAGCAGCATTCTCTCTCCATTATGAATATCGATGGATGCTGTTATTAATAATCAAAGATTGTTTTTGTCATACGATCAATCTTTACCATACCGAATTACGAGTTATTTATAGCTTAAAATCTTCATTTATTCTTAGAGATTTTTTGGCTCTAATTGAGTTAGCTGAAACTAGTCCCAGTTTCTTTAAATTCCTAGTTCAACATCATTTTGGCACACGTTTCATAGTTCAAAGAGTGAAAAGATTGTCAAAAAATTCATCCGGTTTCTAAGGGTTGAAAAAAAAAACCGATGTGATTGTATATAAATATTAGAGAAAATCGAGCACACAAAATTTGCCGAGTAGCGGCATCGCAAGAATACTAGAGCTTGTACATTGTACAATGTGTATATGTGCGCATCTCTATAAATTATTAAATAAATATGTTTTGTACAGTATATCTCGGTAGCAGTATATGCAATGATTGTAATGTATCGATTCATTGGACATTTATAAGAAACAATATTGCAAATATGTAATATTATGTAGCGAAATAACGCGCCGCGAGCTCGCGCTCTTTTTTAAAAGCGCATGCGCGCGCCCTCTCCGGTCTGGCTTTATTCTCTGGAAAGAGCGGGGCGATTGAGAGGGAGAAACGCATTAACAGCGGAACCGGCCGGATGCCTTCTTTTCGGTTTACTTCAGTTGAATGAAAGACGCCGTGGCGTCTCGACGTGTACCTTGACGTTTCTCACGCGCGACCTTATTACGTTCTCTCTGTCGTGTAGTTACCGTTGCGTATCTCGCACGCGGTGCGTTATCATGAGAAAGTGAGTAAGATTGAATTTTTCGATGTGCGCGATTCCTCTACGATTATAATTCACTACGCGCAACTTTGCCGCAATGTCGGAGCAATAAAAACAACGTGCGCCGATCTGTTCCCAGCGGATGGAAGAGCCGCGTCTCGCCTGAGTATCGCCGTAATTGACCAGTGGGCAGACATCGTTGAATCTAAAGAGAGTTCCACGCAGCGATCAACCATCACAAGTTAGATATTATTTATTTATTTATTTAACTCATATTTAAAAAAAAATCACACGTGCAGGTATTGAGAACGTATTGTGTCAACGTAAGAGGGAATGAGATACGCGAAGAAATAGAGGAGAAACAAGATTTGCATTATGCAAGACATCTCACAAACTCATTGCTCGATCTATCGACGATCTATCGACGAAGGTCATTCGAATAAATTACTTGTCGTAGATAAGATGAGAAATGCGGTGAATTCTCACTCGCGTCTTTCGCTACGCTTCGCTCTAATTGTTCGTGCGAGATTCGCGTTGGTATCGCGTTTATCGGTGTCAACTATCGCGATGAGGAAGCGCTGGTTTAAATTTCGCGACAATTTCTTTACTTCACAATATATGTTTGCCAGTCCGTTTAACGAGGAGCTTTACACAGCTGGCGGTCTAGCTTTTATTTCGCTCATTTCGACCGTGTAGACATAACGATGTGAATGTGCAATAGCCGTATATGATTTAGTGTATCGGAGAAAGTATATTCGTGTGCGTAATTAATGACGCATATATAAATTAATAGCTTGAAAAGTATATTTATAGTCGACTCGCTAATTACGATTTTGGTCAGCGATTAATGAACGAATCGTGACGCACGCATTATCTGAAATCTGATGTTTAAATTCGCCGTTTATTTTGATCTTTGAAATTTTAATATAAATTAATAATACAAATATATTTCATTCATTTTAGGCATTCCATCACGTGGTAATTATCGATACTTAAAGATTATTTTCAAATAACACGCTCTCTATCACACATACGCTCTTGAACAAAGTCTTTAGCTCCGGTATGCATGAGCGCGAGCGTGATTATTCCGTGACGGAGAAGCGCATTTATTCTCCGGAGTATCGTCGGCCGTAAAAATTCGGTCGTGCGCCTCGACCGGTTTTCTCTCGATCCTTCTCTTGCCGTACGTGCCCGTTACATCGGTCCGCTTCGCTCGGTCCTTACCTGAGACGCGCAGACTTTGCGGGATCTTCGCGCTGTCCGCATCTCGTCCGTACCGTACGCGCGTCGCAAACGCGTTGCAAAGTACGTGTACAGATTCCTCGTGGTGAGTCTCGGCGCGCGCAGACTATTTTCGATGCCCCGCCAATATAATCACGTCTATTTTTATCTCTGCGTATACACGCACGAAATCTTTTTCGGAAGTTCGCGAGAATCTCTATTCTTCTTTATGCAGCGAATTTGAAAAATGAATAATATAAAGAAAATGCGCCGCGTCAACGTTATCGAGTGATCATGCTTCCTCGATAGAATCAGTTGTCACAACAATAACCAACCGTGTATTGCAGGTGTTTTTGTTTTTTTTTGTTTTTTTCCGGGAAGGAAACTCGTGCAGACTATTTTCGATGCCCCGCCAATATAATCACGTCTATTTTTATCTCTGCGTATACACGAAATCTTTTTCGGAAGTTCGCGAGAACCTCTATTCTTCTTTATGCAGCGAATTTGAAAAATGAATAATATAAAGAAAATGCGCCGCGTCAACGTTATCGAGTGATCATGCTTCCTCGATAGAATCAGTTGTCACAACAATAACCAACCGTGTATTGCAGGTGTTTTTGTTTTTTTTTGTTTTTTTCCGGGAAGGAAACTCGTGACTATCACGTACAAGACGAGCATAGAAATTAATCTAATGCATGTGCTCGTGCAAAATGCAGAATGTTGCAATTCCGTTCTCGTTACGTAAAAAAAATGTTTAATTTGATCGAAGTTCTCCCTCCAATAACATCGCGTTTCCGTTGATATGACTTTACTGTACAGATTGAATGATTACGCGCGTGTCGAAAAGCGACGATAACGTCGTCGGTTCAAATATTGTATGTTGGTAGATTAGTCGTTGATCATCTCCTTCCGGGCTACTGTGTGTACCGAGCGATGAGTCATTTATATATTATTTTTTGCTATCTATGCAGAGTTTATATCTGTTTATTCGAATACCTCTCTTTTTTTTTTTTCTGACCGCAGACTTCGCGTTAACGTAGCATCCAACGATGATTCAACTATCGATAATCTTTTGACCGACGCCGTTATTGTTGCGTGAATTAAAATTGTGCATCAATGACACGACGAAGGTAGCACGGAACAATGACAAGTCTAAGACAAAGGAATGTTTCATCGTCAATGCGCGTCCCATTTATTCAACTCTGTCGCGAAAATCGAAGGTATCTCAAGGTATCTTCGTGAGATGCTGACAATCCTTCCATGAATGTGCGCGCATGACGGGAGTACGGGATCGTAAAAGAACATGTTGCTCTGCGGTCGTCATAAATGCTACACCACATTATTAAAGAGAGGGAGAGAGGGGAAAATAGGGACACGAGAGAGAGAGAGAAGGGGTCGTGAGAGCGCGAGGGGAAAGGAAGTTGTGGACAGAGAAGGGAGCTATTCTACCAGCATGTGGCTACAAACTAAGTAGAATGAATGCAGACGTCTCTCTCGCGAACATGAATGGGAGAATGAGATGTATAAACAAGATATATATATATATATATATATAAATACTCTTGGCACACCTGCGTGAAGTTAGCACCCCATTTCTGAAATTTTAAAATTCTAAAGGTTGTTCCAGGTTGTTCCTCTTTTCTCTGTATTCTCAACGCCACATTTAGTGCCGAGTTTTTACTTGTTTGACTCGAGAGATCACGTTTATTTGTCAAGAGTTTCTCTGTCAAAGTTCACGGACGACCGTATATGTAATATAAATGCTTCGTTTATTACGAAATGTAATTTGAACTCCGTGCATTTTAGATCGTTCAAAGGGATATTAGAAGCGGAAAGGATTGAACCGATCAATACGCGAAAACAGAGAATCACGTGGCTCTTCTTTTCTAATAATAATTCGCGACGAGTCAGATAGCTTTCGTGTATAACTCGTGATAGCTGTTGCAAATCGCTGCCTAGGAACATTTGATATAGAACAATTTTCATTTCACGTTCTATGCCCACGAATTACGTGAAGCGAAAAGAACTTCGATGAAGCGCTTTGATAATCGAATCATCCATAATTAATCCACCTCTTTCGTGCATGTATTTGCGTTCTAATTGACAAACATGACGTATATGTTGATTATCCATTCTCTATTATCGTCATCGGCGCTCTGATATTGTATGATAGAGAAATAGGTCTTTCGGAAAAAGTAGGCCTTTGGAAGATTATTCTTTTCAACGCGATCTCCCGTCTTTGCGTGCACGCATTATGTGCACACACACGCACATAAAAATATAAAGATATATATCGTATATAATTTTTTCTCACATTTAAAAATGTGTACCATGATCTGCACCTGTTTGTGACAGCGTTACCTTTGCCGGTTGCGATGCGTGACTTTCACTGTTGCAATACTCCGTTATTACGTAAGAAAAAGCCGATTCATTCAACCACGGAGGGTTGCTACGTGCACGCAATTTGCCCGCAGAATTCCTCCTTTATCGCGTTTCGAACAAAACGCATTTATATTTACGAATGTATTTATGTAAATATAAAACATGGACTTTTTTTCTATTGACAGAGGAAAGAAATAAAAGGCGCATTGTCGCGTGTTATTGCATTTCGAACTACGTATCGCAATTCGACGCGAATGATAAAAATTTTTTTCCGGTATTGATTTTTATACGATCCTTCAAACAGTACCGAATTTTATCTCGTGCTCGTGTTTAATAACTTGATCGAGGTATAAGATGACAGCTTTGGTAAAGCATATATATACACGATATTAAGTGCACGATATGTACGACTGTCAACCATGATGAAAAAAAATCTGCTTCATGCGTCGATCTTTTGTTATACTTCTCGAAGATGGCTTGTGTGTGTAATTAATTGTTAGATAACATTAAATTACATAAGTGATCCTAGTGTTTTGCTATTAATTCCGAAAGTGGATTATGTAGTTCGGCAGTCTTTCGTTTATGTTCTATAGCGAGATCGATCATAAATCTTAACACGATGCAAGTCCGTTGCATAATTTCGTTTTCGCCTTATTAACGTAACGATGGAAAGTGTGCCGTAGCCAAATTCTTTTCCAAGTACGAACCAACGGGCAGAATTTTCAGTTTTCGCGGCATCCTTTTCGATTTAAACTTATTCGACGAGACGGCTACAGAGCCGTGACGATTCGTGTTTCTCGCTCTCTAAACTCCGATTCGTGCGTATTATTTCGTACGCAACGAGCCGTGAACGACGATAATGAATAGCGAAATGCACGCGTATATCTATGTGTATATATCATTTATCTAATCTGTCGCCATATCGACCGTATAGTCACCGATGTGACGGTCCATCGCTAACATCGCGCATCCTCATCACGCATTCAATACGAAATGTCAGCGTACGGCGATTTCGCGAACGCATATCTCCGACACACATTAAATTTATATACGAGACAGATTTGTGTCAGACGGGATCAGATGGGGTTGCATTTAGCGTTAATTACACCGTGCGAATGCGAACTAGTATCTCTGCTTCGCGTTCATCAGTACGTTGAATTTTCTCGCGTCAATCATATAATCGCGCCAGAAATAAATGCTAGTGATAACGATAGCGTCGTTATACATATTATAAAGTGCGGTCACAGATAACGTAAAGATAAATTGATTGATCAAGGTTCATCGGCCAATTGTCAATATTATTTCACAAGAGATGCCGAAATCATCAAATGACAGTAAACTTTTGAGCGGGAAATGAATGATAAAAAGTTGGAATAATCTTTTGACTCGTGAAGTGGAAATCATCTAGATAGAGTTGAATCTAGGAAGAATAGAAAACTAGGAGCTGTAACTCGAACCCGTCGATAGAAACTCGTATGTTATAAAAATTTCTCGGAATTAATATTTGCAGATTTTGCTTTCTACAAGATTCTTCGAATAAGCAAAAACAATTGAATATGTTTCTTTTTTTATTTCAATTTAATATAATGCTATTGTTTCTTTAAAAATTTATCCAACGTATTGGTATTTTTATTCTATTTTTTTATAATCGAGTCGAAAGAAATAAAAGATCAATAGTAACCATAGAAAAATTCGAGTTATTGGCTGGTATTGATATTAGTCAGTTCTTATATTTAAGATCATCTTAAGATCTTGGGTTGTTTTAAGATCCCATTCAACCAATGAAATGGCCGCATAGCATCTTAAGACTGTACTTGAGATGATCTGAAATATAAGAACGGGCTATGAATACCGGCTATTGAATATTTGATATTTTTTTATAAAATTTATATAAATATTTAATAACTATTCGCAGAGTTTGAAAAAGAAACAGATTTAATTCTCTACAAAACTTTTCGCATAAGCGACTCTACAGATGATTGAATATATTTCTTATCGCATATCTATCTTCTTGTTTTTACATAGTTTCAATTTCAATGCAATAAGTACTATTATTTTATAGATTCGTCCAGAGCGTTTTTCTCATTTATATTCTTTTATCATCGAATTTAGGAATAAAAAATGTATAATATAGTATTGTTTACATAAATATTCGTGTTATTTAAAACTTTATTTTTCTCGTAGCTGTTATTAAAATTCGAAACAAATACACATCAAACATTTTCACCTCCTACGAGATTGTTTACGTCTAACCGATTCTGTGCAACAACCGAATATGTTTTTTTATCTCATCTTTCTTTCTTGATACGATTTGTACGACTCTAATACGATACTCCTATTTCATAGATGTTTTTTTTCGTTGCTTATCGCCTTAACAGTTTCCGTTGTCGCATCCTCGTAGGTTGACGCCCATAATCGTCCCTGCATCCTTTGTCCGCGTACAACCGAGGAGAGACTGATACACACACATCCCGCGAACGAAGTTCGAGATGCATCATTTTATCGCGAACTCGCCCCACATCCTGTGACTCGTGTCCGCACACACGCTCACACCTACACCACAAAGTCCCTGGACTCTTTTTTTCTACGTAAACGAATTAATTCTCCCCTTATACGGGGTCGCGCCAAGTTGAAGGGTCGAGTCCCCCTTCGATCGTGGTAGAACGAAACACGCACATACGCCTGCTGGAATTCGGCTGTATAAAAATGGCGGATCGGTCCCTTAATCCTGTTCGATTGTGTTCGGAGAAATATTCGAAGCTACAAACACATCAGTTGCATTTACCGAAAATTCTCTCTTTCCTAGTAATATATTTTTTTCCATGTATAAACGGAACATCGTCAGTTTTTTTTTTTTTCAGGGTATCGAAATGACAAAATTTACAAAATCTGCGAATAGTTATCAGTTCTAAAAAAACATCAAATAATCAATAACACGAATTTTTCTATGGCTACTATAGATTTTTTATTTCTTTTCACACACACATACGACTATAAAAAATAGAATAAAAATAACAACATGTTGGTGGAATAAATCTGTGCAAATATAATAGTACTATATTAAATTGAAATAAAAATAAAGAAGATGAGAAGTTTATTTTTATGAGACTTTTTTCACCTGAAAAAAAAAAACATAAATAACAGGAGCAAATAAAAGCGAATAAAAGCGCGTTTCATCATCGCGTACTGTTATTTTAGACTCGTGCGATCGCTCGTGTCTAACACTGGCCGTCCGCTATTATACTCGTCATTAGAGGGATTTTGTGAATTCACGTATGTACGCGTGCATGTGTACGTACTATACTACATACAACTCTTCTCATATGTCTCGTTTGACTCGGAACAATCGCGTTACGTTCACCTCTTTTCTTGCCGGTCTCACTCACGAACGCGTAACTGTACGTTGGTCACGTACAGTTATGAAAGACTCGAGTTAACATACACGTGTTTTGTCCGCCTGTTGCGACAATAATTATACCGATGCCCGGAGTTTTATACGCACAAAGGAGTGAACCCGTGTCACATGCCGCGTTTCTTCACCCTCTGAGAAAAACCGCGTTCTTCCGGATGCGTTCCAGAAAAATCAGAGCGCGCGTACAATCCTCTTTCTGTGAAGTATGTTTCATTTTATTTGGAACTTAGATTAATTATTGGAATAGAAATCTCCGATAGTACGAGGATTGATTATCGCAGAATGTAATGGTAATACTCCCTACACCGCGAGACACTATATCCGGTGATAAAAATTTTCTCGATATCAACTTTCAGACGATTCTTCAAGCAGCGTCGAATTTTGTCTCATGTTTAATAACTTGATCAATGGTGTTTAATAACTTGATTATGGTGGCTTTGATAAAACGTGTATACACAATGTTAAACATGATATATACATGATTATCAAACAATGGTGATAAAAGAAAGTCTTTTATTTCATGCGTCGCTCTTTTACTCATATCGTTTTCCGACTCTTTCGAATTGACAAAAAAAAAAAAAAAAAAATATTTGAAAGAGAATATATATTTTAATAAATTAGATAGAAATCCTATAATTTTCTAAGACGAGACAGATCCTTACGAGGTATTAAAATCGAGTAGCACGAGTAAAAAAAAAAAAAAAAATCTATTTAGGCCAAACCTTTAATAAGGTCGAACGCGATCGGATTCGTCTTGGAGCATTATCGTCGATTTAATATTACAGCACTTTTAGTCGCCATTCAAGCATGCCGGCTGATTCGCAACGTGAATCATAGCACGAGTCACGTCATGATAAAAACGCGAAGCAAACCGTATGTTCGACACGTGTGTAGCTTCTGATTCATGTATTTTACGCGAGAGCACTCATTTCCGGTCGTATGAGCACGCGACTGAAATTTCGCCCGGAAAACCTCGCGAAATCCCCATCGAATGTTCGTCGATCAACACTGCTCATTGATATTCCGAGGGAAATTTTCTTCGCAACCCGTTGCAATATCGACACGCATCCTCGTTCGATAAAATTACGGCGCTCTCTCGAGGACTCTCTTATAGAAAATCCTTCGTCGCAATAATTTATGACAATAATTTTACGAAGCCACACGAAAAAATACGGCGAATATATTTCGCGCGAATTAATAGAACAATCGCGTCTTATCGAAGGAACGGAGTAAGGTTGCATAGAACGATAGCGTTCGAACTATCGCAACTTGATATACGCCGATTTGTTTATGTTAAATTAAGATCTGCAACTAGACACTTTTGTGATACGGCCTCGCCAGTATCGATCGTGATTCATGACAAACAGAGTGCAGAGTATAAAGTCGAGTAGACAAGATTTCCTGATGGGAATCGCGACAGAAACCGCATTATAAAGCTCAATAAAATGCATAATTGCGTCCTTTCGTGTCTGGTTAGGTATGCAGTGTTCGTGCATTTTGCGATTGTTCGCGTAATAATTCGCAAAGTAAATCGCATTGTTGCGACACGCCAGCGCGGCGTTGTAACGTGGCGCATTTTACTTTCAGATCGAGAAACGGGTCAACGGATTCTTTTTCCAGAGCGCGAGCGAACGAACGCAAAAGAAAGTAGCGCGATAATGCGATGAGACGACGATAAGGTCAGAGTTTTGATCGCCAAGTTCAAAGTCATGTATCGATCAGCTGGAGCGAGGTCCGCGGTCTGTCAGTTGACCGCGGTCGCTGCCTTGATTATCTTGATGGGAATAACAGCGGCTCTCGAAGGACCGAATATATGCACCCGACAAGAAACGTAAGTATATTAATTCTTGAATAATTAATTCGCTGAATGCACGCGCGCTCGGTGCAAGCGTACCGAAGATTCGTTCAATTCGTTAAGTGCACGAGTCCCAGCCGACAGTTATCGCTTAGAAAAATCTATGGAATGTACGATTTCTTTTTAGGTACACGATAACGGTGAAAGTATCCGAACAGAAACCTTACACCGTGCGAGAGAATACGTGGTGCTTCAGTTTCCCACCGAGATGTTCCAAGTACAAAGTTGTTTACAGAACGGTCTACAAGGAACAGGTGCGCTATTTTTCAAGAAGAACTTTTTAAATTTTAACGAGATCTGATTCAAAGAGAGAGAAAGAGAAAGATTTGACTTTTTTAAATATCGCTCGAATGTCGATGAACGTCGTTCGTAATGTTTATTACGCCCGCTTCTTGTAGGAACTGGTGAAACAAAAACCCGTAGAGGAATGCTGCAAAGGCTATACGCAAACCACGAACGGAGACCGTTGCATTCCAGTCTGTTCCGAGGATTGCCGCCACGGTACTTGTATCGCCCCTGATATCTGCAAGTGTGAATCGGGATATGGCGGGCCGTTGTGCGACTTCAGTAAGTGCAGTCTTCGTTTGATAATGATAGCGCATTCCACATTTCTTGCTTAATATATGCTTAATATATGCTCCGTTCACGATTGAACACACTCGAATAAATAGAGTATCGTGTAATAATATCAAGACAATTAAATCTTATCTTTACAAAATTATACTTTACGCAAGAAAAGAAAAATATTAGCATATTTTGTAAGGAACATTAGGAAATTTTAGACATCTAGCATACATTTTGGAAAATTTCAAATTACAAATGTCAAAGAATATAATTTCATTACGTTTGAGAAAACAATATTAGCTATTTTTATCGAAATATTATTTTATTATATTATATTTATATTCGAGAATTATTTAAAAAGACCGTCGAAGAGATAATAACGCACTATTTCGTACGCCAACGAGGATGAAAAGTTAGTTCAAGCGGCATAAACACGAGGTGATTTATTTATAACTTTTCTGTATGAACAGAGTGCCCGTTGGGTAAATGGGGCAGAGATTGCGAGATGGATTGCAAGTGTCAGAACGAGGCCACATGCGACCCGTTTGACGGTAAATGCATGTGCACGAGGGGCTGGACCGGCGTGTACTGCGATCAGAAGTGTCTTCCCAACCGGTATGGACAGGATTGCGCCGAGGAATGCACCGAGGCCACATTTGACGGTAAATGCATGTGCACGAGGGGCTGGACCGGCGTGTACTGCGATCAGAAGTGTCTTCCCAACCGGTATGGACAGTATGGACACGAGGCATGCCGTTG